CATATTTTATGTTAGAAGACCACGACGCACTAAAAGAATTTCATAAAACATAACAGAAGACATATGAGTTCTTTCAAATTTTATGTCGAAAATTTTGCTGACTTTATGAAATTCAGCACAACGAAACTTTGTTTTTCAGTTACAAGTTTATTTTTGCATTATAGGAAAGAATAAGTATGAATAAAAATAAATCTTGATATTTATAAAATGAAGATAGATGAATTATTTATTTTTGAAAATTAAAGAATAAAGAAAGATTTGTTCTGTTATAGATAAATAGACAAATACATAGTATAACAACTGGATATGTGAAGCAATATTCTTTCTTGCCATGAATATCACTTCGACATGTTTTATTATTAGATAATCAAGCGAGTGCATGAAAAAAAGAATATATATGCAAAAAAAACTTTTTGCATAGTTCATATCATCTATGGGATTTATTGTTGGAAAAATAAAAAAATTTCCGATGTTTATTTTATTAATATAAAAATTGTACTTATATTTATAAAATAAAGTAAAGAAAATGTGACCCTAGTAAAAAATAAATATTGTTTTGCAACTAAAATTACTTTCTTCTTTTTTCTAGGATGGGGTTTAGTCACTAAAAGCACCTGAGAATATCATTATTATATTAAAACTTAAAATCTTGCAATAGACATACTCACTTTATAAGTATTATTCTACTCTGTCTACGCCCTATGTCCAGTTCTTAGGGCAGGTCAAGAAAAGAAATACTCTGCGAGAGTCTCTTATCCAAGACTTGTCTGTGAACAGAATTTTAGATGGAAATCTTATAACCAAGATTTCAGGAATGGTCTAATCCAGAAAAAGAAAATTTCAATATAAGAATATCATAGTAACAGAAAAACTGATTTTGCAAATATTGACGGTTTTAATGAGAGAATAGTTTATTGTGAAAGTGCCACATCTTTTCATTTGGTTCTCTCTTGAAATTCGAAATTTGAAAATTATTTTTTTCTGTTAACACAACATTCATTTGAAAATATTCTTTTAATTTAGTTTTCATTAAACCTATACTAATTAGCAATCATTTCATCATCATCTGCTGAAACAAAATATTCATACAATAACTATTCGACAATTGATTATTTATTTTATTTGGTTCATGTTATATATCAAATATAAGTAGTGATCAATCCATAGAATATAGTGCAATGCGATAGTAAAATAAACAAAAAAAAAACGAATTTGATCTATTCTGTTTTTTTTTGTTTTCTATTTTAGTTTTTATTGAACTCGATTTACTTGTTCAATTACCTCTAATTCGTGTTAATTATAGTTGATTAAATGCTGATGAATTTTCGTTATATTTTTAATCTTTTCGTTTATTTTTTAAACAGCATTTTCTTACTCATATAATCTATTAACTGGAAATGATTGAAGAAACTATGCCAAATTATGATATATCATCACATTTTGTTTTATTGTATTGCTAAATTTTTTGTTATATTATCAACATAATAGATTTCATTCAAGACAAATTATTCAAGTGAAAGATTTAATAAAACATTGTGATTAGTTAATAGCAAGTGGACATGAACTTGAAACACATGGTAGGAAGTAAAGACAAAAAAAAATTTTTCGAGAAAAATAAGTTATCGCTAAAATTCTTTATTTAGCTTTAGCACTATTCGAATTGGTTGTTTTTAATGTATTTTTTGTTGAAACATTACTTAAACCAGCTCGATATAATAAAGTAATGTGATATTATAAGAAATAGTCCCCATTCGAATAATTAAAATTCCTAAAACGTTTTATTAAATAAGAGTGAACAAAACATGTTCTTCCATCAGGTCTCAAATATCGTAGAAACTCGAAAGTATGTATAGGTGTAATTTTCCTCCTCAATCGAACCCACACCTACACTCCAACGAATCAGTTATCTGAAAATAACTATATTGTTGATGCTAAGAGTTCGACAATATTTGGAAATAACAATATTCAGTTATATATTCGATAAAAGATACGACAATTAAAAGTTTGAAGGAAAAGTAGGCATCTTAATTATTGGAAATAAAAGAATCTTTTCATATCGTCTCTACGTACTAAGAAAGCAATAATAGAATTGATATTTTTATAAACTTTGCAATTGTTGATAGTGTTCGAAATGAAGGTAATAAATGGAAACGTTTTTCACGACAAATTGTCGATGTACTTCTTGTTCATCTTACTATTGGTTTATCTAAGGTTATTTTTCTTTTTTTAAAAATCTTCGATTATACGTTACTGTTTCTTTTCAAATAGGATCAATCACTTTTGGATATTTATTCAACACAATTAACACTATTTGATGTTGTATCATCATTTGAATTACGACCAATTGATCCATTTGTTGTCGCTTTTCGAGCATCAACAA